CGCTGCAATGCGGAGCGGGAGCTGGGAGCGGGCGCGGGCGCTGCGGCAGGGGGAGCGGGCCTGGGGGCCCCCGGGAGGCTGCTCCCGCGATCTGGGCGGACCCCGGGCCTGAGAGGTCCGCAGGGGTTCAAGGGGAAGCACCCTAGAAGGCAGGAACGTGTGGTCCCGGTAGCTCAGCCCATTATTATCCGGGATGCGTGAGTTTTGCCTTTTCTCCTCGCTTCCTTTAAAGGCTGTGCGTTCCCTGCTTACCTGCTACTGTGAGGGCCCTTGATAAAGCCCGGCAGCTACCCTTGGTGTACTGTGATGGCTCCTTCTCGAAACTAAAGGGAGCCCCAAGTGCTGGAAGCAACTTGAATCATCCAAATGTTAAAATAAGGACCGGCTAGGCCCCATCTTTAGCCTTAAGCTACCAACTTGATGGAGAAGCCCTAAATCTTTCAAAAAGATTTTTAAAACATTTGAAACGGTAGCTAAATTTGAAGGAGTGAGGAACTAGAAGGAAAATGTCTCATCCAATATAGAGAGCGAGGATTTCTTGTGCTATACAAATTTTCTTAAAGGATTGGATTGCTTGGCGTTGTGTTGTGTGCTATGATGACCAGATTATAGTCAATCAACTACCACTGACCATAGGAATTCGTAACGTGGTTAGGGCTAACATGTGGCTTTGAATTCGCCCTCACGGAACAGATCGCAATTACTAAACTATTCAAAATGTCTTCCTGGCAGTGGCAGCCCGGAACACAGCCCTTGCCGGCCGACAACTCCCCCTTTCAGAGCCGCGGGCGCCTCTTAGTCAGGTGCCCTGGGATTCCTGACACAGTGCAGCCCAGGCGAATTCCAAGAGTCCCAGTAAAGGAATGCCTCAGCCAGTTAATTAGGAGAAAGCAGACACCTGATCTGAGGGGCTAGGGTTAGAAGAGGAAGGCCGGAAGCGCTTCAGCAGCAACTATGTAGGTAATTCCGGGGGCCTTTTGGAGTTACATTGTTTAAAAGAGGTGATCTGGGCTGAGGAAATCGCTCAATTAGGACCTGAGTTTGATTCTCCAGAACCCGAGGGGGAAAAAAAAACCCCATCATGGTGGCTTCTGCTTGTATTGCTCGTGCTGCAGAACTGGCAGACCCCTGAAGCTTAGTGGCTAGCCAGGCAGGCCTTTCTGGGCTAATTCCAGGTCAGTGAAACCATGTATCAAAAGCAAACAAGGGGGGAACAAAAATATACCCACCCATAAATATGTAAATGTGATAAATTTAAAACAAAACCAAAAAACCCTAAAAATTGATCACATGCATGCTCACACACATGTGCTCACCCATGTGCCCATGTAGGTGATGCTCAGCCTTAGCTTACGCTTGTCCCATTAGCTCTTATAACTTAAATTAGCCTGTTTCTCTTCATCTACGGTTTGCCTTGGGGCTTTTTACCTTTCTCCCCTCCTGTATGTCCTACTCTGTGTCTGGCTGGCCCTGGACAGCCCCCTTTCTTTCTCCACCGTCTTCTCTCTTGTTTTCTCTCCTCTCTCCTATTTGTTCTCCCTGCCTGCCAGCCCTACCTGTCCCTCTCCTGCCTAGCTATTGGCCATTCAGCTTTTTATTGGAACAATCAGGTGCCTTAGGCAAGCACAGTAAAACAGCAACACATCTTTACATAATTAAACAAATGCAGCATAAACAAACGTAACACACCGTTATATACCTAAAGTAATATTCCACAACAGGCAGGGCATGTGCAGCTGCCACGTGTGGAGGATAGAGGACAACTTTTGGGAGACAGTTCTCTCCTTCCACGTTTCTGTGTCCCAGGAATCAGATTCAGGTCATCAGAATTCTGAAGCAAATGCTTGACCCTCTGAACCATCTTAACCAAGACAAACTTGTTGTTGTTTTTGGAAACAGTGTTTCTCTGTGTAGCCCTGGATGTCCTGGAACTTGCTCTGTAGACCAGACTGGCCTCAAACTCACAAAGATCCACCTGCCTCTGCCTCCCAAGTGCTGGGACTAAGGCAGGCACCATCATCACCCGGCTCGAAGACAAACTTTTTAAACAACTTTTTATTATATTTATTTATCTGTGCATATGTGGTGTGTGCCGCAGAGCACATATGGAGGTCCTAGGACAAATTGCAGGAATCCGCTGTCTCCTCTACCTTGTAGGGCCCAGGGATCCAACTCAAGTTAGGTTTGGCAGCAGATGCTGTTAGGTTTGGCAGATGGCACCTGCTGAGCATCCTGTGCCACATCCAACATGGCCCCAGGGTCAGACCTGACTGGGGCGGAGAGGGAATGAAGACAAGACATACATAGACAGGAAGCTGTGATGGGGTGGTGTGGGCTCGTCTAGAGAAACGAACGGCAGCCTCTGGAAGCTAAGCGTGTTTGTTATGTCGAGTTGAACAGAGAAGTGGGGTTATCAAGTACAGAGGACGTGGGGCAGGGCCTACGGTGTCCAGCTGGGTCCAGGAGAGGGCTTAGCTGATCTCACAGGAGCAGTGTCTGTAGGGGAGCAGGCTTCAGGACATAAATACAAGGGTGGAAGAAGCTGTCTGGACATTTTCTGCACACACACACACAAACACTGGGACCCGGTCCTCTGAGGAAGACTTTGCTTTGCCTCTGGACCTCACTCCAGGGTGAAGATCTATTCCATAGACCTGAGGCTCTGTAGTCCTTGACTTGGCCTTACGCATGTCATTAGCACGGATTCACTGAGGACTTGCTCCATTTTCTAGAGTCCTGTGTTACGCATGTATGTAATCCTGAGCATGAATTTCTCTATCTTAATGGTGTTGTTTATGATGTTTTTAGGAAGGGAATATAATTTCTGTGTAAAGTTTCTATGTAGGGGGGCTGGAGAGATGGCTCATCAGTTAAGAGCACTGGCTGCTCTTTTAGACGACCCAGGTTCAATTCCCAGCACCCACACGGCAGCTCACAACTGTCTGTAACTCCAGTTCCAGACTCCAACACCCTCACACAGATATACATGCAGGCAAAACACCATAAAAAGAAATTAAAACATTTAAAAAAAGAAGAAAGAAAGAAAGAAAGGAAAAGTTTCTATGTAGGACAGTCTCCAGTCAACTGTATAGAACTTCTGACGCAGTCAAGTGCGTGTCGGGAAGGACGAGGGCTCTTTGCTGTATCCCTCCAACCTCGTCCTGTCTCCTCTCCTCAACAGTGATGGTGTAAAAATAACAGGGTGGATATAGCAGTAAGAATTCCAGTTCATATTAACTTGTTACCTTCGTGAGATTTGGTGAAGCCTTCACCCATTGCTTCCTACGGACAACAAACTTACACTGTTAATAATGTGGTGCATTTTGTAGAGGTGTGTAAATGCACGTGCATGCCTTCCACCTGAATCTTGCATGCAGATGAACTTCTTTCATTTTTTTCCACCTTTGGATTTTTTTTTTGGTTTTTTTTTCGAGACAGGGTTTCTCTGTGTAGCTTTGCACCTTTCCTGGGACTTACTTGGTAGCCCAGGCTGGCCTCGAACTCACAGAGATCTGCCTGCCTCTGCCTCCCGAGTGCTGGGATTAAAGGCGTGCGCCACCACTGCTCGGCTCACCTTTGGATTTTTTTAAAAAAATTTTTTTGGCTTTTCCAGACAGGGTTTCCCTGTGTAGTTTTGGTGTCTGTCCTGGATCTTACTCTGTAGACCAGGCTGGGCTTGAACTCAGAGAGATCCGCCTGGATCTGCCTCCTGAGTGCTGGGGTTAAAGGCGTGCGCCACCACCACCCAGCATTCACCTTTGGATTTTTTGAGAAAGGATCTTGAACTGCAAATAAGTGGACTTGGAACTCACTCTGTTTTCCAAGCTAGCCTTGAACTCTGGTCTTCCTGCACTAGTGTCCCAAGCGCTAGGGTTACAGGGATGACCCACCACCCCTGGTTGCCTCGCTTCCCCTTACTTCTCTTCTTCCTCTTCTCATCAGGGGTGGTTCTAGGAATTGAACCCAAGGATTGATGCATGCTAGGCAAGTGCTTTACCACTAGAACTCACTGAAGAGCCCAGGCTGGCCCTAAACTGTTGGCATTCATCTACCTGAAACTTTCAAGTATTGGTATGAGCTAGCATTCCCAGCTTCATTAACTTTCATTTTTGGAGACAAGGTCTCTAGCCCAGTCTGGCCTCAAATTCCCTACACAGCCAAGGATAATACTAAACTGCCAATCATCCTGCCTCCACCTTTTGATTGATAAGATTACAGGTGCAGACCACCACGGTGCTGGGGATTGAACCAGGGCTTACGATTTCTAGGGCAACAAGCACTCTACTGACTGAGAAATATCTCCAGCCCCTGAGGTGACTTTGTTTAGTTTTTGATTTTTGGTTTTCAAGACAGGGTTTCTCTGTGTAGTTCTGACTGTTCTAGAACTCACTCTACAGACCTGGCTGGCCTCAAACCCAGAGATTTCTGTGCCTTTGTCTCTTAAGTGCTGGGATTAAATGATCTTTTTTTTTTTTTTTTGGGGGGGGAAACTAAAAGAACTAATAATTTTATTTTCACATGCACAATTAATTATACATTAAAACTGCTGGGGCTAGGCCAGGCGGTGGTGGCTCACGCCTTTAATCCCAGTACTCGGGAGGCAGAGGCAGGCAGATCTCTGTGAGTTTGAGGCCAGCCTGGGCTACAGAGTGAGTTCCAGGAAAGGTACAAGGCAATACAAAGAAACCCTGTCTCAAAAAAACAAACAAACAAACAAAAAACAAAAACCTGCTGGTGCCCAAATAGGCAGTGGTGGCACAACACTTAGGAGGCGGAGGCAGGCGGATCTCTGAGGCTGTCCGGTCTATAGAGCAAGTTCCAGGATAGCCAGGACTACACAGAGAAACTTATCTCAAAAAAAACCAAAAACCTGCTGGGGCTGGAGAGTTGACTTAGTTAAGAGCACTTGTTGCTCTTGCAGAGGATCCAGGCTCAGTTCCCAGCATTCACATAGTGGCTCACAATAGTCTGCAACTCTAGTTCCAGGAGATCTGGTGCCCTCTGACCTCCAAGAGCATCAGGCGTGCACGTGGTACACAAACAGTCATGCAGACAAAACGCGCAAATACATAAACACATGGAAACTGCATTCTTTATCCGACTTCCCCCTCCAAAACCCTTCTCTTTGACAGGAAGAGGGAGCATGTCCTCCTTGTCATACTACTGAAATCACTTAGGCACAGCATCATGATCCACGGGTGGAAAGGAAGAGAAAACGTAAGACAGAGCAGTGCCACCACTGCCTCCCTTATGTCCGGCTGAGTCATCCCTGGCCAAGTGAGTACCATCTGTGGCAAGTGGGAGGGGCTAGCTACACACTTTTAATCTCAGTTTCTTAGAAGGCTGCGGCAGGAAGATAATAAGTTTGAGACCAGCCTTGGGGACACAGTGAGCACCTGTTTCTCAAAATGAATGGGGGTGGTGGTCCTTACAGGAGCATCACTATCAGGGAGGGACAACGTTATCAGAAACCCTGCCCCCATGGCTTGTTTTTTATATCCCATTGGTCAGAGCCAGGTTCAGTTCTGAAGGAGGAGGCTAGGAAGGCAAGTGTTGGGAGCGGAAAGGTTTGCTCTGATTTACCCCTGGGAACGAGCACTGAGTACCTTTCTCTCAGCTGGAAAGAGTGGGAGAAAGGACACCCTAGATGCTTACTGTGGCTTAGGCTTGAGTGTCCCCCAGACGCCCCAGTGCTGAAGGCATGATCCCCAGCAGTGCACTATTGGGCGGTAGGAACTAGAGGAAGGAATATCAGTCATTGGGGGCATATCTTTGAAGTGGACACTAGGATATGACCCATTGTCTTCCTGTCTTTCACTTCCTGGCTGCCGTGAGCTACATCTGCTAGGCACTCCAAACATTGATGGACTGACTGATGCAGTTGCGTCAGTGAAAAGGTTACCCCAGTATAGGAGAAAGTCCCACAAAAGCTGCATCCCTGGAGTTCCCTGCACACTTTGCATGTGTACCCCCCAACACACACACACATTCTAAATAAATGTTTAAAAAATAAAATATAGTTGAAGTAAAATGCACCGGCCCAGGAAATGGCTCAGCAGGCAGAATCTGCTGCACAGTGGTGAGGACATAACTTTGATGCCCAGTAACCACATAAAAGCTGGGTCTGGCAGTGTGGGAAGCAGGAACGGGGGAGAAGTACCCCTGGTGCTCTCTGAGTAGCCACGCTAGCCGCGTCTAGGAGCTCTAGGCTCAGTGAGAGACCTTGCCTAAAAACTAAGGTGGAAGGGCTAGAGCTACGGCGCAGCGGTTGAGAAAACCCGAGTTGGGGTCCCCCACCTCTACCAGGTGCCTCACAACTGCCTGTTAACTCAGCTCCAGGGGATCCAATGCCTCTGGCCTCCGGGCACCTGCATTCATGGGTGTACACACCAGGGACACATGCATTCACAGAATTTAAAAAATAAGTAAAAAGAAAGGTAGAGGATGGGCGTGGTGGCACATACCTTTAATCCTATCACTCGGGAGGCAGAGGCAGGCAGATCTCTGTGAGTTCGAGGCCAGCCTGGTCTACAGAGTGAGTTCCAGGACAGCCAGGGCTACATAATGAAACCCTATCTCAGAAACAAACAACAAAAAGGAAAAGAGTTTCTAACACATACATCTCTTCTCTTTTTTCTTTCCTAGAATGTGGGGCAATGACGGCCATGATGATAAACATCATGTCATATGGTACGGTGGAGGAAAGTGGGATCTAGGTCCCTGTGACATCGCGGAGCTACATGAGCCTGGGACTGCTTCATCAGTTTGAACACGTTAATGATAAACTCCTTTAATCCCAGCACTCGGGAGGCAGAGCCAGGCGGATCTCTGTGAGTTCGAGGCCAGCCTGGACTACAGAGTGAGTTCCAGGACAGGTGCAAAGCTACACAGAGAAACCCTGTCTCAAAACAAAACAAAACAAAACAACAACAGCAACAATAATAATAATAAAAACTCCGAGTCACCAATAATGTGTCTGAGTCTCATTAAGGAAGGCGATGAAAGCATTTCCCCTTTGTGTCGTTTAACCCAGCGTGAGCCTGGGTTTGAACTCCACTAATCTCCCTGTGTCTTCTGTTTCCTTCATCTATCCGTTGTGTGAGTCTGAAGCTGTGCTAGCCCGAGTGCTGCTTGGACCTGCCCCTGTGTCTGTGTGCCTGGTGTGTGTCCCTAACAAAGGGCTCTGTTCCCTCTACTGACCAGCACAGACATGGGGAAGGAATGAAGGATGCTTCACAGAAGTCTAGAGTGTTACAAGGGATAAAGTCACTGACCCAGATAACAAACGCTATCAAGCAGTACCCAAGTGCTGCTTCAGCACTTGTGATGGATATTTGTTAATAAAGTTTGCTTTCTAGCCTGGTGGGGTGGGAGGGTCGGGGATGGCTCACACCTTTAATCCCAGCACTCAGGAGGCAGAGGCAGGCGGAGCTCTTGAGTTTGAGGCCAGCCTGGTCTACAGAGTGAGTTCCAGGACAGCCAGGGCTGTTACACAGAGAAACCCTGTCTGGAAAAACAATAAAATTGCTTTCTACTTGCAGTCAGTCTTTCTCTGGACAGCCAGTCCACGGATAATGACACAGATTTATATTGTTAATTATGAAAGCTTGGCCTTTAGCTTAGGCTTGGTCCCAACTTATAACTTAATTACCCTGTTTTTATTAATCTACACTTTGCCACATAGCTTTTTACCTTTTTCCCATTCTGTATGTCCGACATGTTCCGCGTCTCACTGGCGTCCTCTGTGCCTACATTCCTCTTCCAGTTCCTCTCTCTCCTCAGAAGTCCTGCCTGTTCTCTCCTGCATAGCTATTGGTCGTTCAGCTCTTCCTTGAACCAATCACAGTGACACATCTTCACACAGTGTAAGCAATATTCCGCAACATCTGCCTGTGTGCTGTTTTCAGCACTTATTACCATAACACACACACATACACACACCAACACATGTGCATTACCCGTGGGTCAGGGGTGTGGAGGAGTATATAACTGAAGATTTAGGTTATAAAAAGTGATTATATGGAAAATACAAAGCAAGAAAGTTCGCTTGTTACACTGTTCTCTTAAAGGCAGTTTAAACAAACAGGATATCAGGCTTAAGTTTTAAGTGACCCACTCAGGGTGTGTTATAACTCTGGTTGTGAGGTCCAGCAAAGGTTCCACTCTTTTAGAATATAAGAGAGATTTTCATGGAGGCTGGAGAGATGGTTAAGAACACTGTTCTTCCAGAGGACCTGGGTACAATTCCCAGCATCCACATGGCAGCTCAGAACTGTAATTCCAGTTCCAGGGGACCCGACACTCATAGCAAAACATCAATGCACATAACATAAAAAGAAAAATATTTCCATAACACTGTGTTGCCACAGACTACCTACCTCTGAATTCCTCATTACAGAAGAAAATAAAACAGTTTGTTTAGGTATTTGGTGATAGTTCTTTGTGCCATGTACCTGTCATGTCAGCACTTGAGAAAGCAGAAGTAGGAGAATGGATATTAGTTCAAGGCCAGATCGGTTACATAGTAAGTTCTTAGCCAGCCAGAACTGCACAGATGCTTTTGTTTGTTTGTTTTGAGACAAGGTTTCTCTCTATAGCCCTGGCTGTCCTAGAACTCACTATGTAGACCAGGCTAGCCTCAAACTCAGAGATCTACCTGCTTCAGCCTCTCAATTTCTGGGATTAAAGATTAAAGGCATCTTCTCCTACACCCTAGCCTGAGATCTATGCAAAACAAAAACTGAGCTAAAATGCTCAAAACAAACACAAACATAATATTAAATAAAGCATTGTTCAAAAAAAAAAAACTAAACTAATAAAAACTGAGTCGTGGTGGCACATGCCTTTAATTGTAGCACTTGGAAGGTAGAGACAGGCAGATCTCTGTGAGTTTGAGGCCAGCCTGGTCTACAGGGTGAAATCCAGAACAGCCAGGGCTACACAGAGAAACCCTGTCTTGAAAAACAAAAACAAAAAGAGAGAGAGAGATGTTCATTGTTTAAGAGGTTTTTTTTTGGGGTGGTGGTGGGAATGTTTGGAGACAGGGTTTCTCTGTGCAACAACCTTGGCTGTCCTGGAACTTTGTAGACTAGGCTGGTCTCAAACTCACAGAGATACACCTGTCTCTGCCTCTCAAGTGCTGGGATTAAAGGCAAGAGTTGTTTTCTAAATCATTTTCATCTCAATTAGTGACAATATTTTTGGAGAATCTATGAGACCAGTTCTCTCTATGTGTGTGTAAACCCTTTCAGCTACCTAGTCTTTATATGTAACCAATCACCTCAAAACTTACCAACTTAAAACAATTACTTATAGAAAGAACAAGTATGTGTTATTTCTCTTGGTTCCGTGTGGTGTCATCCGGCTTACTCAGCAGCTTCGTCCAACTGGGACGTCTAGAGTGGCAGATATCTTGGCCTTTTGTTTTCTGTTGGACGAGATACAGTGCTTGTCCACATGACCTTTCTTTCTCTCCACATGTTCTTTTATCCATTGTTAATCTAGCTGGAGCTTTTTTGTAGGGTGGCTTGCCTTTAAAAGAAAGAAAACAAAGCCACCAGGCTTCTTAAGGGCTTGACCCGGTTCTGGCACACACACTCTTCTGCCGCTAAGTCACGTGCAGCAAGCACTTAGAAGCTGCTTTTGCTAAAGAATATTGACTCAAGGATAAAGGCACAGCGACAAGTCATTGTCCTACACCTGCAGTCACCTTGGGTTCCAGGAAGAAGCAGAAAGTAAGCCTTTGAAGACGGACCCCCTCCATGAGTCCAAAGCTGCATGCTGGTGCAGAGGTCATCACCTCATAGAAACCCAGGATTCACAGGTTAACAACAAAAGATCAGGTTAGCAGTTTACCAACTGCCTTGCAGGACTGGAGCTGAGAGAGTGATAAACAGGGCCACTCCTGAGCAGTACTCTTAATTCTGCATATCTCTTTCTTCCTGCCCCAGATCTCTGCTTAAAGCAAAGCTTCTGTCCGTACCCTGGAGATGAACTTGGAGCTCTGGACTCACTCTCTGTGCTCCTTTCCCTGAGAGTGATGAAATCTCCTTCCCTGCCTTACACCATTATTTACTGCCTTGATTGTTACACTGGGATGAGTGAGCACGCCTGACTTGTTAGAGCTGCTGGATGAGGTTCCTGCTCTAAAACTCCACTTACAACTTGGGTGAGTCACACGCCTTGGGGCATCCGCCACTAGTGACAAGTAACCCTAAATGCCTGGGAAAGATTAATGGCCCCATACAGATGTTGGGATCACTTTTATTACAGGGACTTTTTCTTTTTTTTCCCCTCTTCAGACATGGTCTCTCACTGTAGCCTTAGCTTTCCTGGAACTCGCTCTGTAGACCAGGCTGGCCTCGAACTCAGAGATCCACCCACTTCTGCCTCCCAAGTGCTGGGATTAAAGGTGTGCGCCACCACCTCCCGGCTGGAAGTATCTTAATTTATGGCTTTCTTGGTTGTGTTACTATAAAAATTTGATGAAAACTCTTACCGTATTGGAACGTGGTATTCGGGGTAACCTGAATCCATATTCCAGTGCAATGGTGGACCGTATTTGGCTTCCAGAATAAACTCTTACTCTCTGGGTTGTTCTTGTGTTGTTTTACACTGATACAAAACTAGAATCTTATGCTCCCTGTCTAAAGCAAGTAGGCTTTTTTTTTTTTTTCTCTCTTTCTTTTGTTTTTGGTGGTCCTCAAACCCAGAGATCTGTCTGCCTCTGCCTCCCAAGTGCTGGGATTAAAGGTGAATGCCACCACGCCTGGTTGTATCTAAACTTCTAACATACAAAATTGGACAATAAAATGCTTTTGATGTTTCTACTGCCTATAATTAGAACTTTTTTTATTTGCTTATGTGCTTCAGCCTCTGTGGCCTGTCCCCTTCTTGTGGACTAGTTTATCACCCGGCCAAGGAACCTAGAGAGCCAGATTAGCAGATATCCCAGTTCCCTCAAGACTGAGGACTGTTCAAACACAAGGGGAATTGAAACAGAAGCTACTTTTGTTACAAACTATTAACTCTTCACTCGGGCCACAAAGCCGAAGGCACAAAGGTAAGTCCTTGTCTTAAACCTGCAGTCTCTTTGGATTCCAGAAGTAAACCATCAGCCGACCCCTGCCCCCAGCCCTTGTCCCCCAGGCCTCCCCCCCCCCAACACACACAGATGAGGGCGATTACTTATAAGGGTAAGCTGCACTCTGGAGCAGAAATAATCATCTTGCTGGAACAGGAAAACAGTTTATCAGCCACCCTCCTGGATTGGAGCTGAGGGGATACAGACAGGACCACACCTTCAAGACTGCTTTGTTATCACACTCTTCGCTCATAGCCCGACAGTTCTTCCTCTGTTTGAACCTAAAGTCTGTTCCTTCTCCCCGATGCATCCGTTAAATCTCCCTTCTCGGCTTTCCCCATTCGGTGTCTCTTTGGTTGGCATGTTGGAACCAGCAGGGGAGCGGAGAGACTGGAGACTCCTCCCCTGAAACTGCAAACAAAGTAGCAATCATAAAGGCCCAGTGGATGGTATTTGATTTTGACACAGTGTCTCAATCTGTCACTCCAGCTGGCCGGGAACTTGCGATACAGATCAGGCTGGCCTCAGGTCACAGAGATTCTCCTGCCTCTGCCTGAAATCAGAGTGCTGGGATTAAAGGTATACACCACTATGTCCCAAAGTAGTGTGGATTCAAAGAGAGAGGGATAGTGTCTACCTTTCTATTTTGCTTGTTTTCTCTTTCTATTTAGTTATTTTTTTATCTTTTCTAATTGATTATTATTGTGTGTGGACGTGGTGTATGTGTGGACGTGGTGTATGTGTGGGCATGTGTGGGCAGAGGCCAACTGTGTGAAGTTGCTCCTCTTCTTCCTCCTTTACATGGGTTCTGAGGATTGAAATCAGGTCATCAGGCAGTATACATGCTTGGTCCTGGGGGGGGGGTGTCAGAAGAGGGTATCAGACCCCCTAGAACAGGAGTTACAGATAGTTGAACCATCATGTGGGTGATGAGAATCCAACCTGCTTCCTCTACAAGAGCAGCAAGTACTCTTAACCGATGAGCCATCTCTCCAGCCCTTGTTTGTTGGTTTTTGAGACCATCTCACTATGTAAATCAGCCTGTCCTTGGTTCATAGAGAGCCACCTCTGCCTCCCGAGTGCTGGCATTAAAAGCGTTTCAAAAATTGTGTATTTTTATGACTATTATTAGTTTATGGTTTAGATGATCTGTTTTGTTGGCAACATGCAAAGCATCCCGTTCAGGAGCCAGCTGAACATGTGCGTTCTATCAGGCCTGAGCAGGGTGTTGGCTCAGGCTACACGAGTGTCGTAGATTTTCTGCACAGCTGGTTTGCTCTGGTGCCTGTTGGCCTTGCATCCCCAGAGAACACAAGTCTGCTGCCTTCTCGCTCTGTTCTTTATGGCTGAGTGGTCAGGGGAACTTCGCGTCTTCCTGGGGATGCTCTTGTGAGGTCTTGTGAGGGCACTTGGCCTGCCTCTCAAGCCACGGAAGGTGAGGATCTTTGTGACTGTGGTGCCTTTCTGCACTGTTCTAGCTTTCACTGGCTTCATTTTGCTTTGGCTTTGGTTGGGAGCAACTGGGCAACACAAGTCTCCTTCTTTTAGCACCCTCTTTTTTTTTTTGGTTTTTCGAGACAGGGTTTCTCTGTGTAGCTTTGCGCCTTTCCTGGAACTCACTTGGTAGCCCAGGCTGGCCTCGAACTCACAGAGATCCACCTGGCTCTGCCTCCCGAGTGCTGGGATTAAAGGCGTGCGCCACCACCGCCCGGCTAGCACCCTCTTAATGAAAGAAAAAAAAAAAAAGTCTTTTGTCAGTGTTCTAGTGCTGTAAAGAGACACCATGACCTCCATAACTCTTGTAAAGGAAAGCATTTCATTGGGGTTGGTTTACAGTTTCAGAAGTCTATTATCAGCATGATGGAAAGCATGGCAGTACACAGACAGAGAAGATGAGAGTTCTACATCCGGACCCACAGGCAACAGGAAGAGGGAGGCACTGGGTCTGGCTTGGGCTTCTGAAACCCCAAAGCCCACCCCCAGTGACACACTTCCTCCAACTAGGCCACACCTCCTAATGCCTCTTAAGTAGTGCCACTCCGTAATGACCAAGCATTCTCAAATATATGAGCCTACAGGGGTCATTCCTATTCAAAAATCAACTTTGTTTTTTTGAGACAAGGAAAAGAAAAGAAACCAATAAAACCTCTTATTTGGGAAGAGGGAACTGGAGAGATAGCCCACTGGTTAATAGCTCTTGCTGTTCTTGCAGAGGACTTGCATTTGATTCCCAGCTCCCCCAGGCAGTTCACAATCATCTGTAACTCTAGCTCCAAAGGATATGACACTATGACACCCTCTTCTGGCCTCCATGGATACTGCACTCATTTGCACACACACATATACACTAATGTTTTGTTCTAAAAAAAAACAGCTGGATGGTAGTGGTAGCTAATGCCTTTAATCCCAGCACTTGGGAAGCAGAGGCAGGGAGATGTCCGTGAGTTCAAGAGTAGTCTGGACTACAAAGAGAGTTCCAGGACAGCCAGGGGTACACAGAGAAACCCCGTCTCAAAAAAAAAAAAAAAAAAAAAAAAAAACCAACAAAAAGAACAAAAACTCCTCTTATTCAGCTTGACCTGTTAAGTTTGTACTGTTTCCCTACAGCATGGACCGAGGGCCCAAGACATTTGGAGACATTCCAAATCAAAACAGCAGCAGCCAAACGCAGCAGTGGTGGCCCATGACCTTTAATCCCAGCACTCTGGAGGCAGAGGCAGGCAGATCTCTGAGTTTGAGACCAGCCTGGGCTACAGAGTGAGTTTCAGGACAGCCAGGGCTATCTCTGAGTTTGAGGCCAGCCTGGGCTACAGAGTTCCAGGACAGCCAGGGCTGTTATACAGGGAAACCCTGTCTCAGAAAAAAAAAAAAAAAAAGCTATACTATCTCCCAGCACCCCTTTACCCCTGGAACCACAGTGAAAATGTGGGAGTGGCCAGCAAGGCAAGTTGTAGACTGAAGTTTTTCACACTAGGGTGGTCCTTCTCCCTTTTTTTTTTTTATTACTTTTTAGTTTGTGTACATGTATGTGTGTTGCCTGTGTGTGTGTGTGTGTGTGTGTGTGTGTGTGTGTGTAAGACAGGTCTCATGGGGCCAGAGAGAAATTACTGTTCTACAGAGGACCTGGGTTTCGTTCCCAGAACCCACATGGTGGCTCACGGCCACCTGTAGCTGCAGTCCTAGGGGATCTGAGCTCTGCAGGATTCTGTATGCCATCACACACAAAACACGCATACACACACACTGAAAATAAATAAAAGACATCTCACTCTGTAGCCCACACTGGCTGGCCTGAAGCTCACAGCAATCCACCTGTCTCTGAGTCCAGAGTGCTGGGACTAAAGGCCTGCAACTGGGACCGCCAGCCTCTAAATAATGACTGGAAACTTATTATTAATTATGAAAGCTTGGCCTTAGCCTAGGCTTGTCTCAACTGGCTCTTATAACCTAGATTAACCCATTTATATTAATCTACATTCTATTGTGATGAGTGAGTCTATTTAATGGGTATTAGGGATTCATTAAGATATAAATTGAGCCAGGCGGTGGTGGCGCATGCCTTTAATCCCAGCACTAGGGAGGCAGAGTCAGGTGGATCTCTGTGAGTTCGAGGCCAGCCTGGGCTACCAAGTGAGTCCCAGGAAAGGTGCAAAGCTACACAGAGAAACCCTGTCTCGAAAAACCAAAGGAAAAAAAAAAAGATATAAATTGAGGAAATACAGAATGGAGTAGATGGCTGATGTCATCCTCTGACCTGACCAGAAGTGAATTCACTCGCAGGCAGGAGCAGGGAGAAGGGGCATGTGACCCTTCTCCTACCCTTATAATAGGTCACTCACAAAGGTAAGAAGCACTGCTTCCTTCAGGCCCTATAGCCCAAGGCCATGGGCGCAGCAAATACCACTACAATATTATGT